CTCTATCATCCATTTACTCGATAATAATCCTGTCACTGCTTTCTCCTTCAGGCGCTGGTGCCCATAACGGAGGACGTTGAAGTGTCTTACGAGCTGCATCGCTACATCATCGGCCAGAAGGGCAGCGGCATCAGGAAGATGATGGAGGAATACGAGGTTAGCTTCTACTCAGTGGTGCCATCTTCTGGCCATGTGACCTCTCATACTGCAGATTTAAAAGAAATCTGCCTTTTAAAGCTGTTGGCTGGTTAACACGCTTCGTTATTGTGCTACATTTAAGTCGCTATATTGATGAAAACGTCGGAGTGTAATTAAGGGAATATCTTTGGAAAGAGAAGTCGTCTCTAGTTGACTGCATTTTGTGTGTGTGGTTGTTTGTGTGCAGGTGAACATCTGGGTGCCACAGCCAGAGAAGCAGCTGGATGTGATCAAGGTGACGGGCCTGGTAGCCAACATGGAGCGAGCCAAACAGGGTCTGCTTGACAGAGTCAAAGAACTGCAGGCTGAGCAAGCTGACAGGGTACACACACACACACACACACACACAAGACAGCATTTCCTGTCTCCCAATATAATTTATCTTATCATTATAAAAATGCTTGAGGTCTTTGCTGCCCCGTCTCCTTTCAGGCCCTGCGCAGTTTCAAGGTGACCATGTCCGTAGATCCAAAGTTTCATCCCAAGATCATCGGCCGCAAAGGGGCGGTCATCTCTCAGATCAGGAAAGACCACGACGTCAGCATCCAGTTCCCCGACAAAGGAGACGAGCAGCAGGTGTGTGTGTGCGTTTACATTATTGGCATCGAGCAGTGAGGTTGCAGATTGCCACCAACTGAACATCCCTCTTCTCACCCCGACCTATACGGTGGCCTTCAAGTCTTTTATCTTGAGCTGTTGACACACTCTTCTCATTCCTCCAGGATCTGATCGTGATCTTGGGGTACGAGCGTAACGCGGAGGAGGCGAGTCGAGCCATCCGGCAGCTGGTGGCCGAATGGCAGGAGATGGTGAGCCAAGATGTTCACCTGGACCCGAGGACCCACGCCCGCATCATCGGAGCCCGCGGCAAAGCCATCCGCAAGCTGATGGAGGAGTTCAAGGTTAGATTTTACACACAGTTGCATTTTTACTCGGAGGGGAAAGGTTCTGATTGGTATTATTATATGTTGTTGGATTCCTCTCTATTTGAACCTGTTCTCCTCTTGTTCTTGTGTTCAGGTGGATATCCGGTTCCCTCAGCCCGGCTCCGACGAGCCCGACAAAGTGACGGTGACGGGCCTTCCTGAGACTGTCGACAACGCCATCGACCACCTGCTCAACTTGGAGGAGGAATATGTGAGTTCCCTGAAAACTCTAGTAATCAACACAAAATGTATAAATCCTGTGTTTTCTCTCCTGGCGCTACAGCTAGAAAGTATAAAAGAAGTTCATTGGGTGCCAAGGCAGTTTGAAGAGCAGTTGTCTTCTCCTCTCCTCTCCATCCTTTCTCCACCTCCCTCAGATGCTCAGCGTGACAGAGACGGAGACGTTGGCAGCTTACATGAAGCCTCCATCTCGTTATGGAGGGGGAGGAGGAGCAGGAGCTGATGATAGCAGCGGGGGTCCGGCTAAGGGCTTTGTTGTGCGGGACGCCCCCTGGAACGCTGCTGGGAACAAGGTTGGACATGTTGGGTTTTTTTGTTTTAGGGATAGTGGTCCAAAGGAAATAAAATGATCCTTTAGTGTATTTATCTCTTACTGAATCTTAATCAGTTGAAAAGAGGAGATGCAGATGCATTGGGGAAGAAGTTAGAAATAGATTGTGGAAAAAGGGGCTGCAACTTTAAAAGAGATGCACTTTGTATTTCATTTAGTGTCTTGCATTGCGTCCAGGTAATTAGTGCAGTCATCTGTTTGTTCCAGGCTCCAGACATGAGCAGCGCGGAGGATTTCCCCACGTTTGGGACCGGCGTGGCCCCGAAGCAAGCGTCCGCCTGGGGTCCCAAGAAGTTCTGAAGCCGCTCATCTGGAGGAAAACAAAAAAAAAAACTTCCGTAAAGTAGACGACAAGAGACAAAACGAATCTCTTATCAAATTGCTGCTCGCCTTCTCTTCAGCCTCCCTTTGTCTCTCTTTCTCTGTAAAAACCCTCGTACCATCCTCCCACAACCAGCCACAATGAATCCTGGGAGAACAATCCCTTCTTTTTTTCCTGGTCTGTCTCTTCCTCATAGTACCCCTGGGGGAAGAAAAAAAGAATCTTGCGTGCTCTCGTCATAGTTTTTGCTGTTTCTTATCTGCGTCTCGGTTTCACCGCCCCCGGCCGGTCTCGCTGAAATATTTCAAAGACCCTCTTTTCGCCTCTAACTGCTGTACTCTTCCTCAAAGTCAGACCTCAAAATCACCTCACTGCAGTACACTAGAAAGGTTTAAACTCTTCCGATTCTGCTGAATCAGCGAAGAGGCGTCAAAGAGCACTGGGGAAATATCCTGAAGCTTTCAGGGAGGTGGCGGTTGCGCATCCAAGTAACGATAGCTAAAGCTTGGATTCCTAAGCTAAAGAAAAGGGGAGTCTGTGTTCTACCGTGCAAGAACAGTTCGTAAACATCTTTTAAGGTTCTTTTCCTGTGGTTTTTACAAGGAAGTCACTTGTTGGCTCATCTTTCCAGTCACTCATGTGGTGCAGCAGGTGAGGCAATGAGCTGTGTGTGTGTGTGTGTGTGTGTGTTCGTGTGTGTGTGTGTGTGTTGGTGGGTTCAGGAGAGGTTTTCACCCACAAGTGTTTGTAGATCCCCTTTTTATTTATGTCAGAGCTGGGAGAACAAAACAGCTGCTGTAGTCAACACTCTGGAGCAAAAGGTGTTGAAGTCCTGCACCGATTGTTTGAAGGTCATTTTGTTACTGTTTATTTATTTGAAGAATAAGGAGCCATTTTATTTAATCTACTGTGATCATGCGTTTTTATAAAAGCACTCTGTAGCTTGATGCTTACAATGTTACGTTTGGGACTGAATGTTGTACGTCAGGGTTTGGGAACATGTTGTGATGTGTAAGTGTACAAAGAACTTTTCGCTATTTTTTTAAACTGTGTGAGATTTTGTTGTTGTTGGTTTTTGGCATATTTGGAAGACTGTATGTATGTGTGTGTGTGTGTGTGTGTGTGTTCATGGAAGTTAAGATGCATATTTCAATGAAGCTGAACCAAACTTTTACTTAGTCTTTGTCTGTTTTGTTTCTCTTCTCAGAACTCATTAAGAGGTTTTTACCCTCTGAGCTCGTCGTTAACACTTGATTTTTTTTTGTCAACATCCGCACAATGCTGCTTAAAATCTGTCACCCCCCCCCCCCCCCACAAAACAAACTCAGAATCAATAGCTGCACTTTGGTTTTCTCATACAAGTGCGTTTATTGAGATTTCGTAGCAAAAACCTTTGTTGCCCCTCCTCCTTCCCGTTCTGAGACTTAATGCGTTGTGTCCTGTTTGCTGAATCATACAATTGGCCCAGATTTCAATCCGTTAAATCAAAGCTTTCTTGTGCTTGGAGTCTTTAAGGAATAGTTTAATAAATATAAATAAATATGAATACAAGCAGAAATGCAAAAAGTGCGTTTGTTTTCTGCAGAAATACAGGGCAGTTTGATGAAATGTTGTTTGTCGAGAAGTAGTTCCAGCAATAGTGAACTCCTCAAACAACACATTGTCCTTTCTACATTTCTGTTCTGTACGTTTTAAACGAACAAGATACAACACGAGAGGGCCAGGAAAAGCTCGGGACCCGATTGGCAGCTCTAAGTTCGACCTTAGATCATACGAAGGAAACTCAGGGTCCAATTAGAGAGTCTAAGCTGGCTACAGATTATTAAACAAAACCGACTATGCAACCCAACAGGATCACACAGCAGATCACCGTCCATGAGTACTCTACTCCACCACTATTATGGTATCATTATAGTTATATTATTGTGTGACGGCAAACTGGAAATCTATTTGTTTTTATTGGTTGAACTCTTGGCTGAATCTCTACATTTTTAAATGACTTTGTGTGTGTGTCTTTTCTTAAACTGGCAGGACAGCGCTGCCCCCGGAGCAGCCACTATTTCTGTACAAAACTATGAAAAAACCCAACATTGGCCTTAATGAGTAATTAGTCGACAGCATTTTGGAAAAGGTGTGATTGAGTAAGTATGCAACGCTGCAATAACATGTCAGTGACCGGACTTTTTTCCTACTCTAAATAAAATTCAATGAAAAAAAAAACGTACCAAAAGCACCAGTAGGTTGTCTTTTCTTCATGGCATCTGTTTTACAGCCCGTACCAAAGAAACTTTAACCATAGTTCTGTTTATACTGTCTGTCAGGTTGTTCTTATAAATCAGGAAGATATGATTTGTTATGTAACCGCCTGTACAACGCAACATACGGACAACAAATTAAGAACACAATACAAATATAATTGTGCAAAGCAGAACTGGGCCGTAAATATCCCATCTCATCACATTTTTCCACATTTTTTTCTTTCCCTTCAGCCAAACCCTGTAGATCGTCCATCAGTCAGATCACAGCTGCTCGTAGAAGGTAACTGAGCTTCTTCAGTTATCATTTTTTGAGTTTGACTCAAAAAACGTTTCATGGTATAAATCAATGATTAGCTTAAAATAACTGCAGATCCCTAATGAATAACATTCACTTGAACTTAAGGATGGCCGGGTAGAATCTGGTGGTCAAAAGTCAGAGACACTGTGAACTCACAAAACACATTTTTGGCCATAACTCAAGAATTCATGTGCAAATGACGACAGTGTAAATGCATATATATATATTTTTTTTTTACTTTTTAAAAAATATCTATGGGTTCGCTCAGTTGTAACACAAACTGTAATGCGGAACATCATTGACCATTCATTATCTCGATTAACAAGTTTTAACTTCCAAAAAGTTAATTGTTCTGTCAAATCTCTCCACACTTAAAAAAGTCATAGTATACTACAGTATGTCGAAAAAAGTCATTAAAAAGTCAGAGTATAGCCCTGACCTCCAGAGACCCATCCTCCGGAGTCAGCCAGGTCGTCCTCATGCTTCTCCTGGAGAGCTTCCAAAAAAGTGTTGTCTTTATTGTACTTCTCTACGACAATTTTGCTATTCTAAATTCAATAAAAAAAATTTAAAAAAGTAACCTAAAGCACCAGTAGGTCGTCTTGTCTTCTTAGCATCTTTCTTGCTTACCGGCTCGTATCACAAAAACAACTTCCACCATCCTTCTGTGCATACTGTCTGTCAGTTTATTATTATTTTTTATAAATCAGGAAGATATGATTTTTTTTATGTAACAGCCTGTACAACGCAACATACAGAAAACAAATTAAGAACACAATACAAATAAAATTGTACAAAGCAGCACTGGGCTGTAAATAACCCATATAATCATATTTTTCACATTTTCTTTTTTGATTGGAAGTTTTTCCTTCTGCCAAACCCCGTAGATCCTCCGCCAGTCAGATCACAGCTGCTCTTCGAAGGCGACTCAGCTTCTTCAATTACATTTTCTTTTTGAGTTTGACTCATCAAAACTGTGCCTTGAAAAATGTTGGGGGTTTCATGTTCGTGTGTCGCAGGTTTATCAAATAGGCATCAGAACTGAGAACTGTGAAAAAGATACGCTTTGGAAAGCTATTCACATACAATCAATCATTAGGTGGATGTTCTTGGGATTAAGTAAAACCCTCATACAAACATTTGACTAATGAAAATCAATGATGTTAGTCGACATGACAGAACTGAAGAGCCGTAATGAGTAACATTCACATGTAAACACCAGCTCAGGTGGTGGGATGCAGATAGAAACTACATGTCGTCGGCTCCGGACGTCCCGCCGGGTAAACGGAGTCGGACATGACTGATGGATCCATCAGAGTGGAGGCGAGAGTGGATCTGGCGTAAACGATGACGGGGAAGTGAAACAGCGGGAGTGATGTGGGAAAACCACTTAAACCTTTTGGCTTCAGTTCATTCAACATTTTACGAGTTCAACATTATGGGATATTCGCTTTCTTGCCAATACTTTGCCAGATGAGAAGATTGACACCACTCACACGTGAGAGTGGCATCAATCTCATCTTACTCTGCAAGAAAGGGAATAATCTAATTTCTTAAAAATGTTTAACTTTTATTTTCCCCCCCTTTGTCCTGTATCAAAAACTACCACGTCTAAAAGTAAATATCTGTATTCTTAAATATCTTCTGATGTGTCCCCTCTGGTGAAACAATCAGGCTTGAACGTCACTTGCCATTCGTCATCTCAATGCACAACTTTTAGATTTCCCCCAAAAATGTACATTTTTTTCTGTCAAATCTTCCAGTTTTCTCCACAGCTTAAAGCCTGTGAATGTTTTCCATTTGACAAGACGGGTCACACGTGTTGCTGGGCCACGATAGAAACGCAACAGGGACTGATAAAGTAGCCGGACTGCTAATGCGGAGACACAAAAGAGAAATCAACATACAGTCGTACACGTGTAAACATTTTTTTCTTCCTCCAGTTTTTTAAAATCTTCCCCCACTAAAGAAGTCACGATCACTCTTGGGTTCATTCTCAGATTCAAGTGTGTCTCTTTTTCTTTTACATTTTTTTTACCCACGTTTCAGTCTTTTTCAGTGATAGTCCTTTAACGTGCAGGTTGGCAGGGGACAGCTCCTCCCAAATTAAAAAAAAAAAACACTGACCAGAGTAGAGGTGATAAGTGATACAAAAATAAGTGCCAAAAGATAAAGAAAAAAATGAGCTGTTTGTGTGTGAAAAATATGTTGGGAATGGGGGAAAAATAAATGTGGCAAAGAAAACCAACCCTAAATGTAGCGAATGAACAAACGTGTTGTTTCGAGTCAATGAGAAGTTAGTTTAAAAATCGCCCACGAGTGTCCAAAACATAAAGTGCAGGCAGTGTCCGTCGTTCTTTGAAACCGCCGTAGCCCCCGGCCTTTAAAAGAGTCCAAGAGCAAACAACCGAAAAAAACAACAAAATAAACAAAAATAATGCTGAATTGTCAACAATCCACGGTTGGAACAGCTGGATTCCAGAGGAGTCTCTCTCTCAAGGCAGGGGTTTGGATTTGGTTGTCAGTTTATTGAAAGTACGAGGAGCGCCACACAGACCCTCCACATTTCCACCCGAATGCCTCCCCCTGTCGCTCCAGTTACTCGATCCGGATGAGCAGTCCGTAGAGGAGCGTGCCGCCCTGCTCCTTCGTGATCCATTCGATCTCCGAGTTGCTGAAGCGAGGGTCCAGGGGCTCGCTGTGGCCAAGAGTCTGCGGCCCCACCTTGTAGGAGCCTGGACGCACGCACACCTGGAATCCCACCTGAGCCTGGTGGCTGCGGTCAGAACGGGGGTCCCGAAATCTGCGTGAGGAGAAGGAGAACGATCAGTAAGTGCTCTCTCCCCCCCCTTCTCCAGACAGGGAGGTGGAAACGTACCAGATGTAGCAGTGATTTTGTGAATCAGGTGGACTTACTGCACTTTGGGGGCAAAGATCTCCATGCCGGAGTAGCGCATAGTGGGGGAGAGCCGCACTCTGGGGACCTCCCTGCCGGGGGCGCTGTTCTCCTCTGGCTCGCTGTAGCCATTCGGCCCCTCCGCCTTCACCGGGGACACCGAGAAGATAGACGACGTCCCTGCAACAACAAAATGACGTTGGAAGTAAAGACAACTTACAGAAAGCTAATGGTTGCATTGCAACTAGTGGCACCTCGCGAGTGACGGAGGAATCATCAATGCTTTCGCTGCTAGCTTAAGTTTGCGAACATTTCAATCAATTGTGAAAAACAAGGGTATGACATAGAGTGTGTGTCTTTGTCGTTTTCCTACCAGGCAGCAGCTGGCTGTGGTCCAGCGTGCGCCGCAGGGCTCCGACACTGGTGCCGTGGTACGCGATGTGCCACTTCTTCAGTGCATTAGAAACCTCACAGTGGGGCTTGATCCTGCACAAAGAGGAAACACTTATATAGACAACGCTGCGCAAATGTATTACGATATACAGTAGTTTGAGATCTGACTGAGGAATCGTCGTCTCACCTGAGGGCGAAGCGGCACCATCCAAAGGGCAGGGCGTAGTCCCGGGGCGGTTCTCCTCTCTTGTAATAAGCCTCGTCACCCCGAAGCTTGTGGCAGGACTCACAGTAGCAAAGGTTGTACTTCGCTTCTTCGTTAAAATAGCCATCTTATGAGCGGCGGTGGAGGAGACAAAGGTTGCGATTGTTAAGATGGTTTTAGATCTGAAACAAAGATCACGGCAGAAAGGCCTCGGGTGAATCTCACCTGGTAGAGTGAGCAGGTCCTTGAAGCGTGAGCACAGTGCCTGGTATTCACACGTCTTGTTGGGGTTGACTTCTGGAGGGGGCGTCCAGCACACACTCTCTTTGATTCCTGCATGTAGAAACAAAACAAAAAGGTCAAACGCAGGAAATAGAGAACGAACAGAACCGAAATGAAAAGATGAACTATAGTTAGCGCCTCTGCAGACAAGTCAAGTTGCACTTTGCATCCATGTCTGTGCAAAATGTCATCGCTGTATTATTTCATCGCGTCAGACATTTGTGTGAAATTGTCATAATTAGCATATGAATCTGATCTGTGGCCCTGCTTGACAAACACTGCTTCTATTATTATTCATAGCTATTTTTATTACCATCATTGCTTTTATTATATAACATTACGACATATTATAATATCAAATATTTATGACATTATTATGACCTACTATACAATTTTATGGCATACATTTAAATACCCTTTTAAAGACATTTTATGATATACTATATTATGACTTTTTATGACACGATTATATTTTATGGCATCCTTTACTATGAATGTCATACCATGACATACCATGCTATCATTTATTTGTTACATACTTTTTATGGCACACTATGACTTGCCAATGACATATTTATTACTGTAACTTTGTTATGCCATTTGTATGACATACTATACTAAAATATTGTTTCTGAAAAAACACTATTTTATGACATTTAAATCATATTTTGACACATAATATACCATCACTTAATGTGGCATACTATAGCAGATATGATTTTTTTGGAATATTATAACATGACTTTTTGTGACATTCAATACTATGACATCTTTTATGACATACTACACAATGGTATTTTTATGACGTACTATTCTATGACTTTTTGTTATATTTTTTGTGACATACTATAGTGTAATATGACATTATGACATTTTCTTACAAAATGTAATTTTTCATAATAGTTTTTGACGTGCTATGTAACTACTTATACATTTCCCTTTCATGACATTTTATGTAAAACTTTATTTATGACGTACTATATGATGACCTTTTAATGAATGTTTTTGTGACATACTATCCTATCAGTTTTTTATTACTTTGTTTATGGCATACTATGCTATGACATTTGTAAAAACTTTCTAAAAGACATTTAGGACGTTTGGACCATATTTTAAGAAATTCCTTCAAGGACTTCCTGAGACTTTGCCTTCAGGAGAATGTGACTGACGTGAGGAATCGGACGAACACCTCCCAAACATAAAGCCTCTAACCACAGCTGTCACAGCCACGGAAGGAACAGAAACCTTCGTCTTCTTACCGTCAACCATGTCCGCCTTCTCCATGTCGCCCTGACAACGTGTCTCACCGCTCTCTCCACCAACAGCTGGCACGTTGTTTGTTACTATAGTAACCTGCCATGGTGACACAACATTCATTAGCATATCATGTCGGGGTTCTTAGTGATAATTATTAACCGATTAGTCAAATCGCCAGAACATGTTATTTTAGATAATTCTTTAACCGTTAAATTCATTCATCAGGCAGAAACGTCAAACATCAAAGTGGCTGTTTCTCTGTGTGTGTGTGTGTGTGTGTGTGCATCTGTAGGTCTGACCTGTTCACACTGGCCATAGAGGTCGATAAAGGGGTAGCAGGGTGAAGGAATGTCCTGCACCGCCACACCCTGGTCCATGCCGTTGACGTAGAGGTGGAGACAACTGTTGGCGTCCACCAGCAGACCCAACACCGTCCCCTCTGGACAAGTGTCCAGATTAGGGCCGTAGTTTTCACATATCTAAAGAGGGGGGGGAAGGAAAAGAGTGATTAGTGGAAAGACACAAAAGAGGAGTCGGCGAGTGAGAGAAAAATGACATAAGATCAATGTGACTGATGTTAGTGAGAACACACAAATCCATAGAAAGCATGACAGACAGATGAGTGGGTTTAAGTAAGTGTGTGTGTGTGTGTGTGTGTGTGTACCTTTAGGGAGTTGTGGAAGACAGAGTCTCTCTGCAGCAGCCAGGCGGAGCGTTTCAGACAACACGCTGTGGAGGGGAAGTTGAGCCGGTCGGGCGAGTGACCTATGACCCCCAACGACAGCGACGACGTCCATAACGGGTTCAGACGGTCGATTTGAAACTGGTGACAAAAGAGAGGCCGTTGACAGACTGGAACGGTCACAGCCTAAAATACCTGGTGGTCGTATTCTGTATATATATTACACTAGTATGGTATTGTATATAGTATGATGACGCACAAACATGATCACCTGGACCTGGACAGTTGTGTTACCTGGAACAGCTGCTGGCGAGCCAGCGGTTGGGCGGTGACCAGCAGGCCCTGGTTATAGCTGGATACTCTGGCTGCCGTCAGGTTCTGGTTGGACAGCTGGATGTTTTTGCCGTGGTTTTCCAGGAACGCCATAACGGTCGGCACTAACGCGCACGGCTCGGTCTCGACCTGGAGGTGACACGGTAGAGTTTCTCAGGAAATCCGACGATGCAGTGAAAAACGCTTGTTGTTAACAGACAGGCTTCTACCTCTTTGACGGGGGTGCTGTCCTCCTCTCCTTCGCTGCAGCTGTCTGAGGAGAGCGATGGCGCCTTGACGCTTTCCATGTCCTCCATCAATGAAGAGCTCACGATGGACACCGCTGTTATCCGCCCATACAGGTCCAAAACAGCATAAACATTCTGCAAGAGAGGTGCTGAATGGCAGCGTGGGGCCAAGTAGCTGTGTACTGTAGATCTGTGTGTGTGTGTGTGTGTACCTTGGCTACTGCAGTCGCTGCAGGTCCCATGTCTTCTCCATCAATGAAGATGTGCATGGTGTCGTCACTGCACCTCTTCACACCCACGCGGTTCCCAACCTAAGAAACAGTAATATTCAGGTGAGCAAGGCACTGAACCCCTAACTGCTCGGGGCTCTGTGCAGCACCGACCCATCATTCCGACGTCGCTCCACAAATCAAGACAATATACATATATGTAAATAAATGCTTGTTTGTGTCCTTATTTGCGGAGCGTTTTTTTTGACTAAGTGCTTTGGAAATAGTTTTAAATGAAAACAAAATCAAAAAAGATAGAAGGATAAGCGAGAAGAAGTAGTTATTATGATTAGAAACAGAGAAAAGAGGATAGTCTGAGTTTTAAGACGCGATGCTGATTTCTGTGAGTCACTTCTTTTTCAGACTGACAATCCCAAAGCTCTGACAACATCCTTAAATCGGGGCTTTTAAGCAGCCAGAGGGGCTCTGTCAATTAGTCTGAGACAGAAAAAAAGAGATCCTTGAGGGTTTCTACTCCAACTGTGCTCACAGAGCAGCAGGGAGATGCAGCTTACCGTCAGCCGGTCCAGTGAACAGCCGTAGTTCTGGCGCTGCAGCACACCGTTGCGACGGACCTCGGAGCCGCAGAGCAGCCAGGTGACCTTGGTGCGGAGCTGCGGGAGGGAGGGGGAGAGACCCGACAGCGGGCAGGACGGCAGCTCCGGAGGCGCCAGCGTGGTCAGACCGACGTGCAGCGAACCGCACCACTGCTCGTCCACTTCGTCAATCCTCACCTGCAGAGGACAGAGTTAGCAACACCAGGAAAGGAAAACATAAATCATTTCTATTGTAGAAAACTGTATTTATGATACATGCAGACATAAGTATGCAAGAGGATATTGTGTACATTATCGTTTTTAAATCACACGGTAGTTAGCAGGTTCATTCTCAGAGCATTTCCTGATAAATTGGAGGCTCGCGTCCTTCTTTACCTCAAACAGCTCGTCTGCTTTGAGTTCCTTCGCACTGAACACAATGCCGTGAGCGTAACCTCCAACTCTGACGCCCTGGCAGCCGTCGCCGAGCAGAACCACGTTCTTGCCGTGTTTACTGTGGAGTCGATGGGCAACGCCAGCTGCTAAACAGAAACACAGGAGAGAAGACACATGGAGATGAGGCTCTGAGGACAACGGATAAAGTGATACATTTTGTCTTTACTCCCTTTCTTCTAATCAAAGCATTTTTGAAAAAGTAGAATTCCATACGACTATATAATAGTTTTAAAAGAAATTGTATTTTACAGACTTTTCATACAATCCCAAAGCTTCAGATCTGAAAATGATCGCTCTATATTTTTTTGTGTTTTTTAAGGCTTTGCAGGCCTGAGCAGGGACCCTGATGTTTACCTGGTGAGTGGATGGGGAAGCTTTTCTCCGTGATGTTGCTGGTACAGAGGCTGTTGTCCAGCGGGCCTGAGGAGCTGGTGATGGACACCTGAACACACTGACCATACAGGTCGATCACGGCATACACCTCTGAGAGAGAGAGAGATGGAGAGAGACACGGATGAAGCATGAGGTCATCATACGGAACCTAAACTGATACCAGCAGTATTCACATCTCTGACTTCACTAATCTTTACCTGGTGGCAGGCCGGTGCAGGCGACCCCTTGATCCACACCGTTGATGTAATAATGGAGGTCGCCGCTGGCTGAGCGCATCATACCAATGCGAGAGCCTGTGGTCAGGGAGTCTAGGTCACAACCGTAATTGTTGCGCATTGTGTTACCATCCTGCATGATGGCCGTTCCACTAAAGAAAAAGGACGAAGACAACGAAAAGTTTTGAATTAATGATCTGAACTTCCACAAACATTTCATTTTTTTTTTAGGTCAGGTGAATATCAAAGCCACATAGATTGATTCCTTTTGTTTATGTTTTTTTCCCCATAATTATTTTGGATTAATAAAGATATTGCTGATTAAGCTTTAGAGTATCAACATAGCCTTCTACCTCAGCATCCAAGTGTCATAGTCGATATCAGTCATAGTGTTGGGAAACTCAAGCTCATCTGGCCTGATGGCTGTCACTCCTGGACACAGAGGGGGGAGGAGAAAATCTGTGGTGATTACACATGGAATATATTTACAAAGAGATCAACGTTAGGTTACACATACAGTAGCTTTTCATTGGTATTTTTGCTATTTAACTTATTTACATGACAAAAAAAAAGGGATAGAAAATCAAGAGTTGACACAACAGAAACATTTCACCTGCTTCAATTGAACCCGACCAGCGGTCCACCATCTTCTGAATGATGATTTCGAAGAGCTCTCCATCTCGAAGGCACCTACGAGGAGGTAACAGTTTGTTGTTTACTCGTGGGAGAAGGAACTGAGAAATGCTGATAGTATATTATAGTTTATAACTTTGTCTACACCCGTTTACCTGTAAACACCATGTCAGTCTGATCATTACCTGGCTCCTTGTGCTTACTGTTACATTTCTCATCATCAGTTTATGATCCATAGACGGGACTTGATTTGCTAAAAGTTATTGTCATTTTGTTTCCTCACCTGTTGGAAATGACAATAGCATCGTTGAACTCGCTGCGGCAGTTCTGACGCAGGGCGGTGCGCCCCCCATTGGTGATGACGGCATTGGTGCCGTGCAGGTGGTGGAAACGCAGGTCGTTGGTGGTGCTGGCCCCTCCTACCGAGCAGGGGCTCCCGGGGGACATGGCCATGGGGCACTCTGAGCTGTCCTCTGGGAGAGGCAGGAGGTCCACTGACAAGAAAAAGGAAATAGATAGAAGTTCATATCGTCTAAAGGGAAATCTCAGTTATTTTAGTATCTTTAACTGTTTAAAATGGAGTTTGTGTTCCTCCCTCTCTCACCCATGTCGTCCATGATGGTGGCCTGAGCAGCCTGGCCATAGAGGTCCACCACGGCATAGACACTGGGAGGGACGTTCCAGGCTGCCGGGCCCTGAGCCACACCGTTCACAAAGAAGTGGAGGCTGCCGTCTTCTTTTCGCACGACACCAACTGTATCGCCTGCCTGCAAGAGAGGAAACAGAGGCGGGAAAGGGTTAAAGGAGGAAGGAGGACAGAGGGTGACGGGTATAAACGGTGGGAGTGACAGCAGCGGAGTAATAAAACACAAATATCACTCACCTTGAGCCGGTCCAGGTTGTGTCCGTACTCATCCAGTATTGTTGTTCCGTTGTGCATTACGCCGTTCCCCGTCATCATCCACGTCCCTGGAAAACAATAACGCAGAAAAACGTTGTTTTTTTTTTGTTTTTTTTACAGTAAATACAGTTGTGCAACTTTTTTTTTCATCAGGTATCTCACAAATGAGACAAAATACCCACTTCTACAAAGTATGTATATTTTACCTGAGCGCAGGTTGGTCATGGTGGAGGGCAGCTGCAGGTATGCAGGGTTATGTGTTGTGACACCAATCTCGATGGAACCCGCCCACTTGTCCACCATCTTATCGATACGGACCTGGAACACCTCGTTGGAGCGCAGCGGCCGGCTGCTCAGGACCACACCGTGGTTGAAGTCATCAGTCGCACTGTGAAAGCAGTTTCTTGTGTGAAGCAAACTAAATAAAGTCAAAATCAAGCATGTAAAGAGTAAGAAAGCCTGTAGTTAACTCACTGTGGCCGCAGCGCTGTCCTGCCGTCACTGATGATGGCGGCCTTCTGGCCACAGTTGGGATGGAAGAGCAGCCGGTCGGGCCCCTCCGAGTCTGGAGTGACGGAGAGAGCCGGCCTGGGCCGCCCGACATCAGGCGATAAAGCCCTCATGATGGCGTTGTTGCGTCTGAGGCGGTCACTGTGGTTGTGGTTGTGCACTATGGTGACTTTGACGGCCATGCCGTAGAGGTCGACCACGCCGTAGACCACGCCGGGGGTCTGGGCTGCCGCAACACCTGGGGGAGAGAAACAGTCTCACTTACAGTATGGCCAACGTGTGTTTGTACATATTGATTATAAGTGTAAAGGTACATCTTCTGCAGTCAATTCAGTCATTAATTCTGTATATTTTGCAATAAGTCAACAGTAGATTGTTAATGTTGTGAAGCGTCATGGAATAACAATCTAAAAATCAAAAAACACTTCACTTGACCCCTTCCTTATGTTCTGAGCTGATTTATAACCATCATCATGATAACACTGAGACCCGCATGAAGCGCCTCACCTTGGTCGATGCCGTTGATGTAGAAATGGAGCGCTCCACTGGCTTTGCGCATCAACCCTATGTGATCTCCCTCCTAAATGTGGACGATAGTAATTGATGGAGATCAGAGAAACGGACACACTTAGGTGTGTCAGTAGGCGGCAGACTGAAATGTGTGTGTGTGTGTGTGTGTGTGTGTGTGTGTGTGTGCGTGCATTGGTACAAACCTGAAGTTCATCGAGGCTGAATTCACAGTATTCCCTGCGGGTTCCTTTCCCGTTGGTCAGTATCCCGCAGCCACTCATCATGATTGTACCTAACATACGCAGCCAGGTTAATGTCATCCATGTCACAATGAACTGCTTTATATTTGTATGAACTGTGTGTGCATCTCTGTGTGAGTGTTACCTGAGCGCAGATTGGTCATAGTTGCAGGATAGTCCAGGTTGTTGGGATTGTGTGTGGTCACACCGATCTCTATTGAGCCTGACCACTTGTCCACCAGCTTATCAATGCGGATCTGAAGATATAACAGAAATACATTTTTTGGTCAGATATTCTGTGAAGTATTATTTCAGTATCACCTGCCTCTACTCAACTAATAACAATGACACTACAGTAAATAAGTCAGTTCATGCACAAACGTGTCGTCGTGTGGTCGTAAACACCTCAAACATCTCGTTGTGTCGGAGCGGCCGGTTGGTCATCACCACACCGTTGTTGAACTCGTCCAGCGGTCTCCTCCGCTCCGCCGTCTTGTTGTTGTTGCTCAGTTTGATCAGCGTGCCGCATTTCTCGTGGAACAGCAGCGCGTCATTGGTGGTCATTGCGCCGATGACGGCCGCCAGCCCGACCCCTCCGTTACCGGCAGGACTGTTGTTGGTATTTTCACCTTCTCCAGGACCACCTCCTCCTGTTGTCCCTGTTCCACTGTCGCTGCTGACTGCACCTCCTCCGCTGCTGCTCCCCCTGTCATTTCTGGAAGAGGAGTCAGATCCTGAATTTCCTACTCCACCTCCTGCTCCTCCTCCGCCTCCACCATCTTCCCCTCCGCCCTCATCCTCGGAGCGATAAAAAGATACTATTGCGTTGTTGAACACGTCAAAGAGCTGGTGCTCCGTTAGAACTGAGGAGAAAAGGAAGAGGAGGTTGTCAAATCCGGGTCCGTGTTGCATAAGGTCCATCAACTGATATTAGAAGGACTTTCTTACCCGTGTCCGGCTCCAGGTTGTTGGGGAACTTGTCTGGTCTGGTGTGACTGCAGCTAAGCTCAGGCACTGTGAACGGGAAAAAAACGGTGAAAATAACAAATCCCAGATAACAGGTTGGAAAAAAGAACCATATAGATAAAAAAAAAAAAAAAAGCCCCCTACCTTCATCTCCATTCATCATTCCATTCATTGCTGCGACATTCATCAGTGCCGTGATCCCCCCATCCTCCCGACTCCCACACACCACATCCTCTTCTTCCTCCTCCTCCTCCTCCTCCTCATCCTCATCCTCTACCTCCTCGTCCTGCTCTATTGTCTCTTTCTCCGTCGAGGCCGGCGGCGGCTCACAGCTCACCACCGTCACCTGAGTGCACTTGCCGTACAGGTCCACCACTGCCCAGAGCTTGGGCGGCAAGCCGCTGGCGGCCGCACCGCAGTCCTGCCCGTTTACCCAGAGGTGAAGCTCGCCGCGGGAGCTGCGCTGAATGCCCACGCGGTCGCCCTCGGCTAGCTGATCGAGGTCACGGCCGTACTCCTCCAGAACCGAGCGCCCGTCGCGCAGCACCGAGCAGCCCGACACGATCCAGGAGCCGCCCTTGAGGCCCGTGGCGCTGCTGGGAAAGTCCAGCGCGGCGGGGTCCAGCGCCGTCACCCCGATCTCGATGGATCCGCTCCACGAGTTCACCTGAGGGGAAAGTAGGGGAAAGATCAGTCTGTAATATGTCACAGATAATGACACATCATGGCCAAAAACCTGAAGTTAAGTCCTGCATTTTCTTACACACAAAGCGTTACATTTGTAATGGTATAAAATAAATTAAAAGATATAAACCTTGTGGCAACTACGATAAGTTGTCACAAAACAGCTGCCAGCAGCAGTCACAAAAGGTGTGGAAGCTTCTAAGCGGTGATGTTAGGGGAGTGAGGCACTGTGCTAAAAACTGCAGGTAGACATCCATGGAAAACAAAGTGTGCCTTGTCGTATGATCCATCTTGTTATTTTTAGTCTGTCAGCGAAGAGCGTAGCTCAGGGAGCGCTCCTTTGAAAATAAAGCAGGACAGTATGAACACACAGTGACACACAAGAAACAAAACACTGAACTATGTGTGCTAAATGTAGTGGCAATGGTTATATGTCTCGCAGTAGGCAAATAACACCATTATTACCTTGCAATACTGTGTGAAGAAAAATGAAAAAAATCACCCGGGTCAATCTAATTTATTCCTCATCTCTCAGTGCACCAGCCCCCAACTTCCAAAATTAGACGTCCAATGCATATTGATGCAGAAAGGCAGTCGCGTGCACACGCTGTACTATATTTAGACCAGGCACAGGAGACCAGGTTTAAGAACAAAATAGACACTTGGGGTCATATTAGCAAGTGTGTTTTTCGTTTATTCAGTTGACCATGAAAACAGAAGACTGTAAGCAGTGTCTAATATACACCTCATCCTTTGTCATGTTGGCCAGTCACCTGACAAAGACCCGAAAAGTCAAAACGTTTCCTTTTTTTTTTTGGGTCCAATAAAGTTTTGGAAGCTTTCATCCAATGTGCAGATTCTCAAAATGTTTGATTGAATTAATGATTGTGTTACTCAACTAGAAGTGGAGTGAATTACAATTCCTCAGCTACTTGAGTTGCCAGATGGCGGTCACAGCTAACGTCCCTCTCTCTCCTTCATCATGTCTAGTTTCCACCGCGTCGTGACTGAAACAACGACAAGAGGTTAGATGATGATTTAACCTATGCACGCGAGGCAAAGCTTTACCTCCACGATCTTGCCTCTCTGAGGCTTCAAGACTGCAAAACTCCTTTCGTCTTTGCACGACATTGGAATCATATCACATAACACGCAGCCTCCATTTCTTCCCAGAAACACAGAACTCAGCATCAGCTCACAATAATGTGATACTTTATTGATCTCCGGGGGGGTGAATTCTACATTTCATGCGTTTTGCCTCCATGATGTGGACGACAAGAGTGCCGTGTCAGCTTGTAGAGCGGAGTCAGTGCAGCCGGTGGAGATTCATAGCCTCGCTTAAAAGACATTTCAGCCTCGCAGATGCTTGCCGACACAGGGGCACGAACTGACGTCATCCGACTGAGGAGTGATCTCCCGGCTCGCTGCACTCCACCTGCCCCCCCCCCGGAGAACAACATCCAACAAAAAAGCCATGCAGTTTGCTCCTCAAAAGGAAGAGAATTACGTCAAAAGTAATCGGAAACTTCCGTCGGCCAGTCTCCCTTTTCCGGTTTGTTCCCTGGTGCTCCACAGGACTCCAGTGAAAGTTGTTAGAAATCCTCCCCGATGAAGAGACCTGGAGCATAACATTAGTGCCACACCAGCTCCTGGGATGATTTTCTGCAGCTCACGCCCGAGCCGAGGAATAATGAAGGAAGATTTCCTCCGAGACAAAATCATTTTGAAAATATTTCTATATTGCCTCCTCTCCTTCGTCTGCACCCATGGTGTCTTCCTCTGCTCCGTGGCAGGTGCTATGTGAGGCAGTGTGCTACGAAAGCCCGGGTATCTGGGTTAACAGATTTAGTAGTAACTCAGCCTGACCGGGTCGCTGTGCGGAGGAGACAGACAGCTCCTTGCCTCGCTCATTCACTTATGTAACAGCAGCCTGTGGGTGTCTGCCTCTCTCTCTCTCTCTCTGAAGACCAACTACTACAGGATGCAAGCAGAGTATGACCACTGCACAGCTTTTATAAAGAATTAAAAATGAATTGCATCAAAAGCAGAGAAACACTGCGAGGACTATACAGCGTTCTCATCTAGCAGAGCATGAACACAGCCGGACTCTGTGTAGGGGGACAGGTGAATACAGTTCTCACATTAATAAGCTACATTATTTGGAATAAATTGACATTTTAACAGCTACCATATAAAATACTGACACCAGCCTTCAACACAATTCAAAAATATTTAGCTTACTATGATATTAGATAAAGAAAAACAGCAAATCCTCCCACCTGAAAAGATGGAACTACAGAAAGTTATCAATTAAAACGATGAATCTACTACCAAAGTAAGTCACCGGTTATTTTTGTAGCATGGTGATACAAGCTACAGTACAGCTACATTGAAGCGCCTCCAATTTTAATTACTAATACGCACAATATGGGATATTCCACTATTCATTTTGTAGACCACAGCTTCATACAAAACCCCAAACCACTGACAGCGCCCAACTTCGGGCTAAACTGTTTGTCCAATAAATCACTCCATTTGCTCGTTGTGTTGCACTCATTTTTCCAAACATCCACTATAGCTCAGCAGACGGGATGGGCAGTCATTCCAATCCGATTGCTCCGTGATGGAAAAGTATTGATTTTCAAACAGGCAATGCATTGTCATGTCAGAGCATTGGGTTGTTTATGAGAGCCCTCATCAGGCTGAGTGCACCACATGGGACGGATACTGGTTTACATACAGGAGGTGCGATTCAACCACATGTTTGACTTTACTGGCTTTTGCTCTGTCTCATCATGCTGGATGTTCTTAACAACTAACTGTACAGCTTGGCCGTGTGTGTGTGTGTGGCCCAGTTGGCACGGGCAGAAGCTCAAGAGCTGCCATGTTGTTGACAAGCTCCAGTAGGGTTGCAGACTGCAGAGGCGAAAGCCATTAGCACAGACAAGCTCTCCTACACTGATAACAGACAAGATGTAAACACTGTGCATAAGCATCGGTGTGATACGGAGAGGCCCGAGTCATAGCAGAACACACCAATAGCCATAGATAGATAAGCACTTGTGTTTAAGTGACATGAAAGCTACACATTTGAGGGCATTTGTAGAAGTATGTATGGAAGAATTGAATGTGCTTTTATCACACCACCCGACATTAAAAATAAACAACTTTAAGCATACTTAAAGGGAAGACTTGAGAAGCATTTTAGGTCATGAGATCCTTTACGGAAAGCAAGACATTGTACATTGGTTTGATAACCGAATGAGTGAGAGTGAGACACCTGTACTTTAAGATGTACTGATCGCTGGAAAGAATGCAATCAACATATAAAACGGAGCCTCTTAAACAATGGATGTACGTATAATAAAGGGTATAGTTGTGGTGGAAAATATGAAATCTTTCCCAGAAGTGAGGGATGGATCACCTTCCCTGGAAAGAGGACGCCATCATATCTAGAGCTGCATGAATCGGAGGACAGCGATGGACACAGTAGAGTAAGAAATGTCTCTACTTGGTTCCCATAATGAGGGACAAATGAGTTCAATGAAAGCAAATGTCCCAGCAATGAGAGAGGAAGAGAGTGTGTTTACAGATAACTGAGCAGGGATTAATGAGTGCTACCTTTTAGTGGTCAAACTCCTCGTGCATTAGGCTACACCATCACTGCTGGTAAGGTCTTAATATGGTGATTTAATGAAGATGCTGTAGACGACACTGGTGACTGATAGCGGTGTCTACTCGTACGCATTGGTGCCTCTTTAGGTTCACACATAGGCTTTGAGTCGCTAGAATAGCCCGAGCTGGTGTGAGCACTGCAGTATAGCAGGCTGACAGGCACCTACGACTGTCACGGACTCCTCCGAAACAAAAGTTATCAGAGCTAACGTCAAGTTAACACGCTTAGCTGAGCTCGAGTAGTGCAATAAACAGCAGCGAGTCCTTGTCAAACACACGAGAGAGCACCTTCCGTAAAAAGCTAGCCCCGGGGCTAGCTCCCGTTAGCCGAGTGATCCGTTTCACAAATCCCCCCACATACGAACGTGTTTATTTCTTTACGTCAGTCACTGATGAATCTCAGTGTGTGTAATGCATCACTAAACAACAGCCGTGGTCACTGTCAACCTTGTGAAACGCCCCGGATAGGATGAGCCTCTCACTGCGGACAGAGGCAGACCACCGGCCCGTCCTACTGCTCCCGCACTCCCGCTGCTCTCATCCCCGCGCAGGAGAAGCAGCAGCAGCTGCAGCGGGCCTGTTATTGTTGTTGTTTACCTTTTTGTCAATACGGACGGTGAAGACATCCCTGTCCCTCAGCGGCTCCTTGCTCAGCACCAGGCCGTGGTTGAACTCCTGCACTGGCTGGTTGCGCCGGGCGGTTCGGTTCGAGTTGGACAGGCCGATCAGCTTTCCGCTCCGCGGATGCAGCTCCGCCGCCATCTTCAGTGGGCGGCCAGTATTCACGACAGTCAGGGGTTTGCGACAGTTGCTACACGTTATGGCAGTCGGTAGATTACTGTAATCGATCCGATTTGGTTGCACCCTGCACCGCGCCCAGTTCTGTGTAAACTGTATCATGAAACAGCATGAAACCTATTTTATGTCGCAAAAAGACTCAATTTATCGTTCATTTTAAGCTTGACACTTGTTTAAATTTAACTTTAATATTTAAGCTTTATAGGAATTGTAGCAGTCATATTTTTGCAGTCGTATATTTATCATAAATCTGGGTTTTTTGTTTATATTTTTTGGCTTTAGTATAAATATAACTGAATGTTTGTTGAAGATTTGGGGATTTTTGAAAAGATTGTTTTCCCATTTCGTTTTGTTTCATGAATGTGTAGTTAAAATATTATTAATTATAGTAGTAATGATAATAATCAATGCCTTAAACGTTTCTGCAATAAAGAGGTGAAAATGTAAGCACATTTCCCGTCAATTTATCATAACTTTAAATATATTGCACGCATACACATAATATCTAGATATATTTTTAATGCACTGGAATATCTTGAAAGATTTAAATGATTTTGAGTCATTTGATGACTATTTGTTGTCAATATATTTCTTCCTTCTATGCTTAATCAACTTAAACAATGACCTTTACCAGACAAATGTAATATCTTTCAACTTTATGACCATTTAATGAAGGGGGGGGGGAAAGAACCTCAGACTGTCTGGCAGTGCAACAATTGTCCTTATTCTTTAAGATTATAGACGATCTTTCTTGGATCTTAAACAATATTTTAGATTATTTTGTGTGAATCTAGTGTTGTTTCATTGTTTAGATGGCATCATACACAGAGTGGGTGAAGTGACTCTAATATTATCTTTAACAATCCACTAGAGGGGGCAAAATCCATGTCTTAAATCTCAGCCTGACTCATACCCCACTCAGTATCTATTAAACGTTAGTGCTCCATCACAGTGTTTAAATCTCCTCAAAAGCACTATTGGGTTTTAATTTGCCCTAAATGCAGCAGTAAAATTAAAATCTGTGGATAGCCATATTAAGGAGAATCACATCTTATTTAGAAACAGACTGTTGCACGTACCAAGGTCACGAAACCTCTTACATTTCTCAGATTAATTAGCGTATTCTGTTAAAACGGGAGAGATCTATTAAACAACATATTAATATTTTATTTTAATTCTCCACATTTTAGAGGTTAATTGGTTCAAATACCACATTGAACTACAGATTGACTATTAGCAGACAATTTTTTTTGGTGTTAATTTCGACCCAAAGGCATCCACTGCAAACATCGAGTCCACATATTGAAGATGCATAGTTTCATGGTCTATGCAGGGCAGCTGTGAGATGAGATTGACATGTGTTTGACAGCTAAATCCAGGTCCAAATCCCTCCCTTGAACCTGGATCTTCTCCAGACAGCCTGTCAAGAACTGGGAGCCAACATCGTCCTCTTCCTCACCTGAAAAATGAAAAAGAGAAAGAAGACAACCCATGTGATCTTGTAATGCACTTCACCATGCTCCTTGTCTGGCCTAGTCAATGGATTTCCTTTATGAATGTATATATATAATTGTAACTGGTTGTTTTCTGGGGTTTAATCTAATTCATTTTGTTATTAATTTCTTTTATTGTGTGTTTTATTGTGTATTCCTCTTTCTGAACAGTAATCTAGGACCTTCAATTTTAAGATACACTGACGCTGAATGTACAGACACACGATTAAACGCTCATCATCGCTGTTTAATCTCACCTAGGAGACCTCCAACAGCAAGACGACCCTCTTTCCATGCGGTCAAATACCCGGGATGGCTCACTGGACTGGTGGGTAATGTAGTAGTCTTTGATTCATCCTCATCTTGAAGCACTTGCAGTGAATCTGTCTGAAAGATTATCACCAGTCTCTTGAAAGTGTCTTTCATGCAGATGTTTTCTTCGCCGAAAGTAAGTGTGACTTCCTGCAAATTCAAGAGAAGAGAAAGAAGAAATATAATAACTCTGTTTGTGGAGTGATAATGGTCTCCAATCTGCGTGTGTCTGCATGTGTGTCTGCATTATGCAAATGTTCATGTCAGCTATGAAGCCAATCTTACAGTGCCATGAGCAGTTTTAAACAAATGCTAGAAGTTGTCAGCAAATTGAGTTTGCCTCACGTCTGATTTATGTGCATACCTTTGTGTTATTATTGGCCACTAAAGCGAACATCAGCTCTTGCCCAGGAGCCTTGATGCTAAAAATGGTCCCATCCATCTTACTGAAATCTCCCCACAATTCAGTCTTGACCCCACGATCTGCTTCAATTGGGAAAACTGCAGAGGACAAATGCAACTCACAAAATGAATATAATCTGAATACAGATTAAAAGTATATTGCCACCCATGATGTTATGTCATGCAAGAATGCATTATCCAGGCCTGTTGGAAAGCTTGTTAGTAAATGAAATAACACTTGTCCAAATCTTTTATAATGGGGCACAATGTTTGCACCTGAGGTGTTGAAAATGGCAAATCCAGTGCCAGGGAAGTAGCTGCCAGGTTGGACGTTTTGATAGCAGGGCCAGAGCTCCTCCGCCTCGACCTCCCAGGGGACACTGAGGTTTAGCCAGCTGCCTTTCCGCACACAGCCATCCATGTGCGGCTCAAACTACGGCAAAGAACGACAACAATGCATTTAGTGAAATGAACCGCAAGACAAACAGTGAGCAGAAGAGCAGGTCGTTGGGGTCAGAAGTGTTCATTGATTGTTTATGGTTATCTTTCAGTGCACATTGTTTTTAAATGTCATGATGGGAAATGTTGGAAATCATTATATGAAGCAGACGTATACACTGTGGGGGAAGCAGGTGGATGCAAAATGGACAAAATAATAGCACAATAACTTCTGGAATCTATTAAACGAGACAGATAAAAGAAAAATGTAAAAGACTGTAAAGTAGCCAAGGGTGGATTAACAGGTTATACCGGAACAATCAGCTTTTCTTTGTCGACCAGGATCCCACCAAGGGCCAGTCGAAGTTCACCTGAAAGGACCTCGTTTGTCTCTTTGGACTGCATGCCAACCTCCATCCTATTGGAGCCATCCACCTCCAGAATCACAAATGGGTCTTGGTTGCTCACCTCCATCTTGGTGGCACCAGGAGCACAAGAAGAATTCAGACAAAACTGTATTGCTTTGCAGCACATGGTCACAATATACACATGCAAAATAACTAGTTTCCGGGCTCTGTGTTTTAAGACATCTACACTTACTATGTGCCATTTCCCGTCATTGAGCTTGGGGCCGCCCGCCACGCTGACGAGGCTGTTTCCTCTGCTGATCTGCATCAGGGGGATGCCGTCTTTCAGGGACAAAACAAACCAGTCCTCCCCGTTTTTGGTGTCCCCGTAGAAAACGGCACCTTCTGGGTCAAACGTCCGTAAATGAAAGGATGACTTGATACTGCAGAAACAGAACCCAGACGTCATATTCAAGGGAATGCTGGTCCACACAGAAGCTAAAGAAGATGATTCTCCCCATCTTTTATTACTTTTGTCTAAGGCTGCATTTTAAATCTCAATAGTGACCAAGAATATACACTGACAGAGCGGTAACAAGCAGGGATAGTTCTAGGAGCCTGCAGCTGGAGAAATGCAATACGAGGATGGGTTATATAATATTAATGTCATCAGAAATAAGGGGGCCAGGATCTTCCAGAATTCCTAACTATACCCTCTACTTGCTGCCACATAGTCTCCCCTGGCCTTTCATTCATCACATATTTTCAGTTGTCGATGTGAGGTTTCTGTGGTGCAGTGGTTTTGCTCCTGCTGACGTACCTCCTGATCTCACTGAGGTTTACTGCTGTGTGGATCAGTGGCCTCCAGATGTCTCTGTCCTGGCCGAGGTAGACGGTAGCCCCGCCTGATACTTCTTTCTGGAAGACACAATGTCAACATGAAATCATTACTTCAGCGCTTTCTTTCTTGCACAGCTCATATTCATCAAAACCTGCTTTTGTAATTTCTTGTCAGATATCTTGATTGGTTAGTGGTTGAAACTATATCAAACCAAGTCATGGTTTTAATTCAGTTATTGATTTAACTAAAAAACTTAATTATCTTTTAACAAGGGAGGTGAAAGTGGTAAGGAAGTGCAAAATCAATGTCAAGTCACTGACAAGCGAGCCATATGGCATCTTACTGCAGTATATCAATACACAATGGCTATTATGAAACTTAATGTGCAAAAAGTCAATGGGGTCAAAACAGCTGCTGGGTTTTGTGGTTATGTCGCTGATTTGTCCTCCCACAAACTGAGCAAAGTCCTAAGTCTAAATAAATTATTAGGTCATCTGGGATAGCCCTCTTCAACTGGCATCTGATTTGCATACAGTAAGAGTTAATTCGTGTTTCTTTAATATCGGCTTTTATATGACACTTTGTTTGTCCTCCATCTTTCATAAAAAACATAATTAATACAGATGATCCTTTAAAAACGTATTACAATATTATTTTAATTGCTTGAGAGGTCAGGTATTTCCAAATACCTATGACTGTGTGACCTTTTCCTAATTTTACATTAAGCAAAAACAATACCTTTTTTTTTTTTTTAGAGATTTATCAAAGCTACAAAATGCATAGATCATTTACATCATATTTAGGATTTCTGCTGTTTTTCAAATGCGTTTCTTTACTATTTGATAATGCCAATGGTTACACATGATCTTTAGACTGTCAGATAGATATTGATAAGAGCATCTTACCAGTTTACTACTCCTTCCAAGAATTGTAATGCATGTGAACATACCTTACCCCGTCTGCCCTCAACTCCCCACCCTAGAAGAGTGAGGCTCAACGAGAGCAGCAGTCCACCTGCCATTGCTTTACGAAACACAACCATCCTTCAGTGCATTCATTCACCCAGGCCTCCCAGTGCACAGTGTCCTCGCCCTTTTGGTGGTCTGCGAACTCCACGCTACCCTGAGGTGTCAGAGGTATGACGAGGAGCAGAGAGACACTTCAACAGTGTGTGGCGCAGGTGTGAGTGTGTGTGTGTGTGTGTGTGTGTGCTGGCACACTGTCCTGGGGTCCAGAGAGCAGATATGCCAGTGCAGGTTATCGATCCCCAGGAGGGGGTGCTTTTTGGCTGCATGGTTGTCACCAGATCTTTGCAAACATGTCGATGGGCGAAAGACACAGAGTGAGCTGCAGGTAAAAATACCGAAGATTGAAAGTTAGAAGTCGTTATATTATAAATAATTAAAAATTCAGAAACACATTTTTTTCATTATGTGTGCATTACGATCACGCTATAAATCTCCTGCCTTTGAGGTGATTCATGTAGAGTGGGCACTGCAGCCCGGGTGAGTGACCTTAGCCAGTTCACTGATGTGTGTTTACCCATTACACAGGAACCTTGATTCACCACGGCTGCTTCATGACTCGGTGTTTGTTGCAGAGTGAAGAGGAGAAAGAGACGAGAGGGGATGTGCCTCAAGTAACAAAACTCTTTTCCCCCCTCTTCTGCTGGCCGGATTCCGGTGACACGGTCTCCTTCCAGGAAGATTGTGATAACTGGGGAATACTGGGAAAAGTGTAAAACATACACAGAAAGGAACAATCAGTAAACGATCTGGTATTCAGCGGTTTGAAGTTAATCCGAAATGTCAAATCGCACCAAAATCTCTCGTGTGTGCACTCAAAGTCTGACAAACATCTACTGATTGTCATGGAGTGTGTGCAGATAAGCCTCATTTCCCCACCAGACTTGATGCGTTAGTAGGAAAAGCAAAGGTGTAAAACATAACATTAACAATGGCTGCAATTAATTTAGCTGGGTAAGTTTTGGGGTCCTTGTGTTGCCCATAATGGCCCATTGTCACATTTAAATAGAACAGAGCCATTGCTAATGATATAAGCTGTGAAAAAGATCCATCTCTTTGCAAGAAACTGCATTTATTATTGGCAAGAGAGCACTGTACCTTTAAATCCCAACCATGCCTGAGGCCATGAATGCACCATTTTTTTCTCCCCCACTCTTGACATTTTATGATGAATATTTTTGATAAATCTATTCAATTTCTGAAATGATTTCATTCATATTTAGTTTTCAATTCATCTCTTACATCATGTTTTGAGAGTGCAAAGATGGGTGTGAGTCACCAAGCCGACAGTTTCTGTTCAAACCACTGAGTGTCACTAGTGGGAAAGTGCTCATTCAAGGATGGTAAGAAATCGGCCCCCTGACTGCAGAGAGGAAGCTGTAATCAGCCTCTGGTTTACGTGTCGGCAACAAACTTTCAGGACAAAGTGCGTTTTTATGTATTTAGAATTTAAAAAAAACAACATAATATGTGCTGTGGTTAAAAGAAAACATCAGTGAATTAATTACCAAAGATACCAAAAACTATTCACCAGTGGAAACAGAGATGATATTGAATTAACGCTAAATACAGAGCGATAGAAGTATTCACCAATGGATCATGTGTTTAAAAGAAATGCAAAGGATGACCACAATATGTTCACTAAATGTTAAATGTATATTTTGCTCGAGAATTCACAGGGAGGATCAAACAGTGTGAAAACACATGGCTCATAGTAGGAACTCTAGATCAACGTGTAAAGATTAATAGAGACATAATTTTAAAAAAAAAATATGAGTCCAGACTAGAGTTGATTTCATTGGGTCATCAGGTTAATACTTTATTTTGTTTGATTGCAGCAAAGAGAAAGAAAGGGAGACGGAAACAAGGGGAGAGAGAGAGAGAGCGAGAGGAAGAATGTTGGGGAAAAAGGAGACTACAGAGCTGTGGCTACAAGCCTTTGTATCAAATCTAGAGACAAAGTCATCAGGCAACATTAAAACATCTTTTAAAAATAACATTAACATATTTTGTGGGCTCTATATGGCACAGTATTACCCTAGACATGTACACGATACCAAATCAGTTTAGCCACGTCCCTACGTCTATGAACAGCTTCATAGCAAACAAAGCCATGATATCTATCTCCAAATCAGACTGCCATTTCTCAAGAAAACGTTCATTTGCCGTTCAAATTTCTTATGCCATAACAAGGCACCTTAACAGTTGAAATCTGGCAGGTCCACATCTTAATATAGATAATTATTTAAATATCAAAGCAGAGGCACATTCATTTAAACTAAAACATACAGTAAATAGTTGTATATTACCACCAGATTCCAGTCCAGTCACTACAATACGTTGATTTGCATGCTTTTGGTCTGTATGATAACCATGATGGCAAACTATGGCATAAGAAATGGTCCAAAAACAAAAATATGTCCATCTACAGGAATGGCTTGAGATAGTGTATTGGAGACAGCAAGGCTTTTTTTACACTGAAACTAACCCACAGAAAAGTGTCAAAGAACAAAAAAATAACAGGTGGCCCATATACTGCCATGGGGATATGCTGCTCAGACAGATTCATTTTGGTTTTCATATTCGCGCAGTCACTCACATTCGTACACAAAACACGTACGTCCACACGCAAAAGGCTTGAAACCACACCCATGGGGGTGCTTGTGCGCCCCTTCAGTTGGTCACAATGCGTTTCTACACACGCCTAAACCAAAAGGCGCCCCGTTACCATCACACACACACACACACACACAGAAACATATGTACTTCATTCAGAGGAGGTGCAGTGTATGCTTGAGGGAAGAGGGAGTATTAAACAGCTCCTAAATAGTGACTGTGAGATGTAAATGTGGAAGCTAGTTTTGTGGAATTGTTCCAAACTGTGGTCTATAATGAATAACAAAAAAAAATTAAAAATAGAGGAGATATGGAAGATGAAGAAAGCCAGAAAATATCAAACAGAAACAAAAGCTGTGCGCACAATGCCAGATTTGCTGAGGATATAAACGGTTAGGAAGCAAGTGTTGCTCATGCTTTGTGGATACAGAACCCAAGATTACGGACATGTTCCTAGGACTACTGTATATATGCATACCAGACGTTATACGGTTCTTTAACAGGTTATTTGTGTCAAAACAGAAACAAAAAATGAACTGAAACCAACTCTACAATTAATGCAGTTGTACTTCATTAACCTCATGACTAAATTTACATTCATATTTTTAAGTTTACTCCCCCCTTTTTCACCGAAGCCATGTCCATCTGGTAAGAGGGCTAAACAACATAAACAACAACATAGTTTAACAAAACAAACACATAGAGATAACATTACACTTAACAGAAAACTCCTAGGAGTGCTCCTAGGAGTTTCGGTCACCACTTTGGCTGCTAAGCTCAGCCTTTTCCTACCTCTTGGTAAATGACACAGGGCAGGAGGGGGAATTATTTGGGCTATTTCAAATGCCCCCCTCAGTTGGGGAGAAGGACTTTTTTTTTTTGTCCCCAAAGTCATTTCTGTGGGTCCTTCTGACTCAAGAGTCCAACAGTTTTGTGCCCATATATTTCTTTTCCTACACAGAAATAACTCGATACCCTGAATCCATTTTTCTATTTCCTTCCTTGCTGTCACTTTATTCTTCCTGGCTTAGGAAATGGAGCCTTTTCCTCTTCCAATCAAAGAGGAAAAAGCTACCGCAAGACGAAGGCTAACAGGTTTTTATTCTTTTCCTTTTCAATGTGAAGGAAATGAGATGAAAAACGGAAGTGCAATGGTCTACCAGCCTTTAAATCATACCCAGTGGCCAGCTACATATCCCAAGCAGCTACGAGTGTCCCCTTTAAGTGACCACTACCTTTCTACTTTGTGCACATACGGTATAAAACTATGGTGAATGCTATACAGATCCTACAGTGCCATATGGCCACAAAGTCGCCAGGTTAGTTGAGACATCAGAAGCTCAGATGATCTGTCATTGTCATAGACTCGCATCCAGCCATAGCATCGACTTCTTCAATGATTTGGATATGAGGAATCACTTCTAAATGCACTTCTACATATTGACCGACAGTAGCTATTCCAACTAGAGTAGGAATGCTGTGCAAGTCTCACACGGAATGAACTGGCCATCACTTGCAAACACTCACACACACACTCACTCACACACATACATACATACGTACGCAGAAATACCTGCTTAAGCCCACCTCTGCATGCACAAATCACCTACATACATGTGCATGTACATGCTCATATATAACTTCCATGGACAGTTTATTGACAGGATACACCTGCAATCTCATTCGCTCATACAAATATGACGCAAGGGTCGAGTTGCTTAATGCTCCACCTTCAACTGTGTTTCGAGTGCGGACTCTTCCGTTTCATCCCTTCCTCCTTGCCCTCACAAGCCGTCCCTGAAGAGCGTTTATCCTCGCTATGCGGCGACTATAAAGGGAAGCGGACTGAACTAATTTTTCACACAACACACACCCTGTTAGCAGTTCTTATTCTTATAGATAATATAATGAGTCAGAGAGGAAGATTAATCAAGCTCTAGAACTACGACACACTACAGCGAGACAGGAGAGACAAGGAGAAAAGGGGAGCGAGAGTAAAGCGAGGGGAGTAATGATCAACACTATAATATCGGCCCCTCTCCCGTTTCTTTGCTCCTTCTCCTCCCTTCAACTTACTCCTGATATAATGCCTAGCTCTGATCTCTACTGAAAAAAAAGAGAGGCAGGGGTACTGTGCGAGTGTACTCAGTGACCCAGTGAGCACGCACCCCTCCTGCTCCCATCCTAAACAGGCCAGGCCCTCCCCATTGAAATATATTCCTTATAGTGCTTCTGTGTCCTACGGTTTGCTGCTGCTGCTGTCTCGTTGTTTCTTGCTGCTGCCGCTGCTGCCGCCGTAGAAGCTGGGATTTGCCACTAAGGGGTGAGGAGCTGTGCCCATGTACGGCCCAGCTGTGTAGTTGAAGATAGCAGGGAGGAAAGGTAGAGGCTCCACCTTGTCCCCCCCAGGTGTCATCATATTCAGAGCTACGGGAAGAGCCGCCAGGTTATAAGGGTAGGCCAGCAGCTGGGGCCCATATAGCAGCTGGTAAGGGTCCGGATAAAACGGTAGCTTAGCCAGGTCCCCGCCATTGGGGATCATCATTTTCCCCAGTGGGCCAAAGGGAAGAGCTCCAGCAGGATAGGAGGACATGAGCAGGTGTTCCTCCTGCTTCTTGCCAGATTGGTAGCTGTCCGGCACAATAAGGGGTAGGGGATAGTTCTGGGCATGGTAGCCCACTGGGGTGGCGTTCCGCTGATGCGAATCTCTGGAAGAAACAGTATCGTGGTGCTCTGGCTCAGGTGGTTGGGGGGCCCGGGGCAGAAGCAGAGCGTGGGCGGAGGGGCGGTCCCCGGCACCAGCTGCTCCAGTGGGCAGAGGGAGTCTATCGAGCCCTTGTGAACTGGAGTGAACCTGCCGGTTGCCTTGAGCCAGGAGGCCAATAGTTGAGGGGGACCGGCAGGGAGATTTGGGAGTGTGCCTGTGTGAGGAGGATCCATTCATAGTGGTTTGAGTGGGGATATGCTGGGGGGACGGCACAGGGCTCAAGGGCTCCTCTTTAGGGACCAACAGACAAATCTGGTCCTGTGGGGTGTGCGCAACTCTACTCATTTGATGGGCCATCTCTTTTTCTCTCTCTTTCACCATTTCTTTGTCCCGCTCCCTCTCTATCCGTCTCTGGAGCTCCCTCTCTTTCTCTCTGTGCCGCTCTATCTCCCTCTCTCGAGCTAGAATAGAGGACATGGTCAGGTCTTGTGCTTCATCGGGAGACGGACTCCTGGGCAAGGGTTGAACTCTGAGATCCTGGATCCGGGGTGGTTCCTCATAACCCACATGTACAAACAAACCACTCCCGCTCTGCCGCTCTCTGTCCATAATGACCCCATCCCGTTTCATGAATCCCCCCTCGGAGCTGAGAGCTGTTGTCATGGAAACAGGAGGAGCAGCAGTGGTTATTCTGGTCTGTGACGTCATGGGCACATTTGGAGAGGTGTTGGCGGATGCCACGATGTGCACAGGGCTGGGTATTCTGTGTATATGGCTGTCCAGGTTCTTTTTGCTGGGGGTGCGGTAGTCCAGACATTCAGGTCCGTTCATGACGAGCACACTATGGAGAGTAGAGGGTGTGGCAGGCGTGAATTTGTGTTTAGTGGGTGTAAGTGTAACCGGACTTTCTAATGGAGGGTCTGCAATTTGTGGGCTGGACTCTCTCTCTAGAGCGGGATGTGAGAGCTCCGTCAGTTCAGGTTTGCCACTGGGTTCTGACACCTGATGTTCAGCCGTCAGTTCACCGAGATGGTCATCACGCTGCTGTGATGCCAAACAGTCAACACTGCTGGGGGGGTCTGGTGTTGAATAGCTGATAACTGAAACAGCGCTGGGAGCCTGGCCTTTTTCAGTCTCTAGGTCTCTGCTAACAGTGTTAACAACCATCTTCGCTGTTTTCGGCTCTGAGTCTTCCTTTTCTCTCTCTGGGGAACTGCTTAACTCGTGGCGTCGGATATGGCGAGTTAGTGCTGAAGATGTCTTGCACACCTTATGACACTGCGGACAGGTGTGTCGTGATAATGCTCTTCTGCTTAGGCGACTTGGACTAGAATTACATCCTACGAAGGCTACTTGCCCACCTTTTTCTTCATCATACTTTGCAATCTCTGGCACAGATTTAACCCCAACCCCTTCAACCTGTTCATCGAGTGCCACTTTTTGGGGTACAGAAGGTGCCTCAGTAGGCTTGGGATGCTGGGCTCTCTGGTGGTCTTCCAACTTCTCCCTCGAGGGGAAAGTGGCTCGGCAGAAGAGGCATACGAACTCCAGCAGATGGCTCAGCTCGTGTTTGTCTCGCTTCCTGGAGCTTGAGAACCAGCAGCCACATGTACCACACTCTGCCGCATTCCCATTAGTCCAAGGCCGCCTCTTTATTCCAGTAGGGGCCACTGAGGTAGACAGAGGAGACTTTGGAGAGTGCAGAGTGGGAACCTCATCACAGGCCTCCTTAACTTGTTCTTCTGGGTCTTTGTTTTTCTCCTTTAAAGGCGCAGAGGGATAATCTTTCTTTTCCCCCTCTCCCTCGTCTCCGTTAGCTTTTGACAGTTTTTCGGCCTCCCCAATCTTCCCATCCTCTTCCTCATCTTGTGATTTCTCTGTCTCTTTATCCACATGGTTATTGAGCCTCTCTGTCCTCTTCAACCGGATGGAGCGCTTGAATTTCAGTTTCCTCTGCCAGCTCTTGACCCTCTGTAGATGTGCTTGGGCCTTCTTCTTAGGCTTGTAGGAGTAGTAAGGCCGCCATAAATTATCCTCAGTGTCATTGTCACTCTCCTGGTCACGCACCTCCCGACGGAAATAGTACTCCCTCACTTCATCAGGGGACTTGGAGCTCTTTTTCCTGACCTCCTCCTCACAATCTCCTCCTTCTTTATCACCGTCTTCTTCCAGGCTGACTCTGCGGTGGAGGCGGTGTTTATGGTGATGGTGATGGGAGTGGCGTGTCTCCTTTGCTTCCCGCACAGATGATGTTTCACTCCGTTTGGTTTTAGGTGGAGAGAGGCTCTTGTCTCTCCTAAGATCTGTCTCAGAGATGCTGCGCTTCACCATGGCTTCCTCACCAATACGTACAGTAATCTGGCACAGGGGGCCTGCCTCTTTGACCTGTGACCCTACAGATGCTGACAGCTGCTTTAAGTTAGAGATGTCACTCTTGCTGTGGGATTTTCGTGATTTGTGAAATAATCTGCCTGTCTCTTCACCCTGTCTACCTCTTGAGCCCTCCTCTGTGATATTTGAACAGTCTCTTGACCTCTTTCTATGGTTATCTGCACTATCTCTTTGCTTTTTCATTGGCCTGGGAATGCCCTTGTGTAAAGTCTGGCTGATGCTGGTATCGGGGGATGGACTGCTCATTGGGCTTTTTTCACTTCCAGAAGTGACCTGATTGCTATGCACAATGACAGAGGATGACACTGCTGTTCCATGAACTATGACGGAGGGTTTCGTATGGCCATAAGTTATTACAGAAGGCATGCTTGTGTCTGTGCCTCTACTAGTCTTAGGAGTTTTGGTTTTGCTGCTACTAGACATTTTGAAGCTGCCACTGCCTTTCCCCTGCTCTAACTCTGGGGCCTCACTCTCATGTTTTCTAACTTGGGGCATGTCCGCTTGGGGGAGGGGTATTAGTGTGGAGAGGTCCCCATGCTCGGCAGAAATAGGGAAGCCATCAGGGAAGTCATCTGGGTCAGGCTTTACACTCTGAGGGTGGGCCCCACTGATGAGGCTTTGTAGGTCCTCAGGGCCCAGAGTACAGCCCAGTCCAGGCAGGGAGAGGGACGGTGTCTCAGTTGATGGGAGTAGCAGGCCATTATGCAAACTGTCACTGTAAGTCTTGTAGGGTCTCTTCTGGGAGCGCATGGGGAGGAGGCGGTAGAGTTTCAGGGCATTCGCTTTCTGCTTATAACCCCCATTAGCTGTCTTTTCACTGGAGATGAGGCTGGGATTAATCCCATGAATAGTCTTCTGGTGTGTTTTGAGATTGTAGTAGGTGGCGAAGGCATCCCAGCAGAAGATACACTGGTAGCGGCGCTCTCCTGTGTGCCACACCTCGTGCTTTGTGCGGTACTCAGCCAGGGCAAAGACTTTGTCGCAGAAATGGCATGGATATTTGCGGCGCCATGAGTGCACATTAGAGTGACGCTTCAGGCTGGATAGGGTCATGTAGGAACGTTCACACACAGAGCAAAAGTAAATGATATTGCCATCTACCACCTTCACAAAATGGTGCTCATCACCCGCTAGCAACTCTGCGGCTGCTGCATCATCACCTTGGATGCGTGCCAGGAGGCTCCGTGCTTTCTTCCCCGGCCGCGCCTTACTCATGTCTGATTGTCCCACAATCACTCCCCCCTCCACTCTCACCTCACCCTCCTCCAGTGGCTCCTCCTTTGGCTGCATAGTGAGAGAAGGAGGGCCCAGGCTGTTGGAGGGTAGGCCTGGCACCCTGCAGGAGGCCTCGTGGGACTGCAGTCTCTTGCTGTGGATGAAGACTTTGCCACAATAGCAGCAATTGAGGGCGCGGCTGCCACGATGCAGCCGCATGTGGACTGTCAGGGAGGAGGCCGAGCTGAAAAGCCGATGGCACACCCCGCAAATCAGCTCGGGCTTCAGGCTGTTGGTAGGCGGATAGGAGGACGAGTCAGGGGGTGCGGTAAGACCCTCGGATGGAGGAGGAGGTGGTGGTAAGGGGGGAGGGAGGTGGAGGGTGGGTGGGTGAAGACTTGGTCCATGAGGGCTTCCCACTTTCCCAGCTGGTCTTCCTGTCATTTTCTCTCTCCTCTCTGCATCCCCACCTCTCTGATAGGCTGATGTGCCCAGACTGAAGAGGATCTGGGCGGTTTGAGAGGGTGAGGCTGTACCGTTGGCAACCCTGTGCCTCTCATCCCATCCGTCGCCACCATAACAGCCACCTGAAGACCCACTGGAGGATCTTGGGGGCGACCTGTGGAACTGAGTCTCTGGATTGAGTTTGGAGCACTTCAGAGGAGGCGGGGATTTTATATCTTTCCTACTAAGTGCATGAACAGTCATGGGAGATGAGGAGGAGGAAGGGGAAGAGGACGGAGAGCTGTCGTGCCTTGGGGGCTTAAATGGTCTGTGCTTAACGTCCATAGTAGCGTCCAGTTTCCACAGCGACCCCTCGTCTGAGCTCTTGGAGGACGGCCGCCGTCGGTGAGGGGAAGGGGAGGATGACGAAGAGCTACGACAGTGGTTTGGAGAAGTCAGCGAGGCTGGGAGGGGGGCGGCACTAAGTGGGAAGCTTAAGGTGATTTTTGCATTTTTGGGTCCATCAGCCATGTCCTCCAGCCTGTCCTCCATCATGGCCTCTCCGCGGCCTCCGTGCCTTTTACCCTTCATCTCCAACTGCTCAACTTCCCCTCCCTCCTCCTCCTCCTCCTCCTCCTCAGGCTGAGAGGCCACTCCAAGACAGTGGACTGGTTTGTTGAGCCCTTCGATCTTTCTTGAGCAGCGGAAATTGAAAGGCAGGTGTACAGGTGAGGAGGCCCGAACTGGTTGAAGGGTGTCTACAGCCACTAACGACCGTGGCGGGGAAGACAAAGGTGACAACAGCTGACTCTGTTGGCACGTAGAGTTCTTAGTTGCACTCTGTCTGGTATTGCAGAGGGGAGTTAGCCCAGCAGCCAGGTGTTGCTCACTCAGACGTGACTGAATAAAGCCTGCGTGGAGGGGGTCCCACACCTTCTCACCGGACACCATGACCAGCACCCGAAATCTGAAAGAGAAATCAGAAAATATACGTTAGCCTTCTAAACATCCTAAGGTACATGTACAACACAAAATCGACATAAAGCAAAGAATTAACATTTACGTACACCCAAAGCTTTCGCAGTAACAGTCATGGCGCTTGTGGAACACTTTTGAGAAACGGAAAAGAAAACTGAATGCTCCAGCAATGCTGAACTCTACGAGCTCCGCCAGGAATGGTGAGTGAAAGGAGGGAGAGGGTAGGGGGAAGGAATGAATCTGCGGCAGTGCTGGTTTAGATTTCAGCGTGCCACAACCAAGCCTTTAGAAAGGCATTCCAGAGATCCATCTCTCTCGGCTGTGACACAACATTCCCTACGCCTAATTGGAAGGCGTTCAGATTTAATCAAGATTCCCTCAGAGTGTTAGATCCATGGCCTGAAGTGCACACGTAAAAATAGTCCCATTCTCTTGCTGTTTGAGCAAGAGCCTTGTCAGCCATTCCTGGCAGTGGCTAGTATTTGCCGGGCATGACTCTAACCATTTATTTGTGAAGGCAAAGGCGGGAGGGAAGGAAAGAGGGGAAGAGGAGAAGGGAGGGAGATTGCATGCATGTGCACAGCGAAGGGGTGTATTTCAGTCCTCTGCATCCGGTACAATCTCAGCTAAGCTGTAGTGTAGAAGATGAGCGACAGGCTATTCTCATTTCCATTTTAATTCGGCTGCCATGGTGGTGGATGCAGTCCTGCTACAAATTCCCCATACACGAGATAGCTGCAGATTCTTGCGCGATAGGCAATTTACCGTTATTACTTATTTAAAATGGGTCGATTTATTTAGGTCTGCATGTTGGGGAGAAGAACGGCGACAGTATAAGGCCATAATGATGCTACGAGAAGAAAAATCCTCAGTCATGCTTTTCTGCCTGCGTTTTCGAGCAGCAAAGCAGCCAGAAAGGCAGGCCGCTGTAAAATTCCACAGGCAGCCCTGAACAGGCAGAAACTAGGTCAGCACTGTTATTGCAGAGGGAAGAGGAGGGAGAGAGCAAGAGAGAGAGGGTGAGGATGAGGGAGAGTGAAAGGGTGATAGAAAGAGGGAGAGAGAGAAAGAAACCGGGAGAGCAAGAGACAGGGAGAAGGAGAGGGGGGTTGGAAACAGGAACAGTCAGACACTGTCAGACAGACAGGAGCCCAGGCAAACACTCACACACGCACACACAAAAGCAACCAGTACATAGACAAACATATAAGCACGCACACACACACACACACAAACAAACATGCATGTGTACACAGCACTGCACTTACACTCATCCATGCCCACAAGCAAGACAGACAGGGATAAACAAAAGCAGTTCAACACTTGTAAATGACATTCAAAATCAAAAGGTGAATCTGAGTGCACCATGACACAACACGGAGACCGAGGATCCAGGTGGAATTAAGTGTAGTCAACAAAAGGAAAACACGTGCGTCTATTAATGACGTACTTAGTGCAAGCAGTGGCACATGCTTTTTGTTGTAAGAGGACAACAAACCGGGTCAGGCCTATTCAAGATTTGTGTCGAACAAAAAGGACGCAGCACAATCCTTTCTCGCCAGGCTTGCCATATTTTGTAGCTCTGTATTGAAACAGGCCTCACATTTGCTGAGCGATAGATGTTGTGCAGGAAATCCCTTATGGCAAGCGCCAGTCTGCTACAAGTGGGCGGACACACAGAGAGACGGCGCTAAGGCTAAACATTTCACCGTCTCAGGAAAATGCGTATGACGCCCCCTCGCTCTTTTTCTTTATCTCCCTGTGACGCACACAGCCGCTGCACAAGCACAGTCTGCACGACACGCCATCTGACTGTGACAGGGAGCTTTCAACACGCTTTAAATGTTCTGGATTTACTCCTATTCACTGGATTTTTTTTGCACATGCAGAAAGACGCTTTTACCTCTTTATTATTTGTGCAGATGAGCGGATACGCACACGCATAAATCCTTCCGTACAACTCACAAACAAGCACACAAACAAATGTGACCATGGATGTGGAGAGGAACCTAAAGCGAAATCAAAATAAACAGCAACCCTGTTCCCACACCTCTCTGTAACAGGATGTTCTGCACAAACAGAAACGTTGGTCAGCCTATGAAGTGTATATCTATTTACGCTTGTGGCACTCGCACAGCACGAACGGGTTCTCAGCTGGTGCCGGAAAAATGACTAACTAGTCCGGCGTAAACATAAAACACATGCCGAACGCATTGGCTTTTGTGTAACAACGAAAGGCTCTTCACTGACAGGCAGAGGGAACAGAGGCCCACTGACTCAATTTGTATTCAATATCAAATGACAAATATGAAGAAAACACTTCATTCTCTTAAGTTTAAATCATTCGAAATAGCACAAACTTGCAGATTAGTTTGCACAGTTTAACAGTGCTGTTTGGCTCAATAATCCTAACATTGTTTGCTTGAATTTTGGGACCAATTCAAAACAACAGAAGTTCTACTATTAACTGACATACTTTTCCATTAGCATCTGAAAAACATGCATCACTTTATGACCTTGGAAACCATTAGTTAGTAATCCACCGAATTTAAACGGTCAATCAGTCACGAGGAAAATCACCGCTAAGGTGGCTTTGCATAACATAAGGCCGGACGGCAGAGGAGTTTGGCTGGTCGGCCGGCTGAAGGCCTTGAACCAGCCGTTGAGCAATCTGTTTATTCCACACTGAAACTGGTACTTGTGCTGACAGAGAAATAACTGTTAAGATTCGATTCTCGTGCTTTTTTGTTTTTGGTGCCATCTTTCATCTCAAAGGAAATTCCAACCACAAGTATTTTGATATTATGCAGCTCAAACTAAAACTTAATTTGGCTCTCAAGTACACTGTGTTAAGCTATTTGGTCCAAGCCTTCATATAATTGAGGATTAAATGTCTGATCACAGCAAATTATATTTTTAATACTGTTCTAGTGCCACATAATTTACTTTCATATTTCAACATTAATGTAAGCAGCTAACACTTGTACCAAACCCTCATTAAAAAGTATTTGATAGAGTACAGCTCAAATGATCAAGTTATGTTGCTTTCCCTGTACTATCACTATTAAAAGGACAATTTAAAATGAAATCCTGGTCTTTTTTTCATAGTTTGTGCTCACCAAGAGATCCGGGAACACAATAACGTCGCTAAGGCAAAATCTGATGGTTGAAGGAAAATGCCGGTCAGATTACAGTTTGTAAATGAGCCAACAGTTTAGAGATGATCTCTATTTTGAGATGAAACTGACAGTGAGCACCCCTGAAATGTTGGTAATCTCTCATTGCACAGAAACGTGCGTGTTCACAAAGCTACAGTAAGCTAACACTTGTGCCTGCAGGTCAAAGCAGAAGCAGGAAGTCATTTTGTAATATGCCTATTTCTTCTTCGCACTTCTTTTTTTGTCACCGCATTCACAGATCCAAACAGTTAGTTTACTGAGTGCAACTTTATTATTTCTAATAGGAATGATGGCCAAAGTTATAAACAAAACTAACTATAAACTAACAACCAAGATATAATAAACCAGAATCCTCCTTTTCCTATATCTTAAAGGTGCATAATACTAGTGGGAGAATTGCTATTGCCTCTAAATGACTCTAAACATGGCAACGCTAGCAGCCAACGGCGCCAACAGAGCTAACTGTGCTAACAGGGCTAACCGGGAACCGGAGGGCGGGTGCTACACTTCCGCGACAATGCCTTCGTTCGGGACAGCATTGTCAGCTGTAACCGCAGCACATGCTGCTCACATGCACTGACTTGAACTAATAACATGTGCGGCATGTGCTAACAAAGCAAAAAGAAGCTTGGATAACAACACACACACACACACACACACACACACACACAGAGAGGGAGAGCCACTTCTTTCTCTACTCGGGTAGACATTACTCAACTATATCAAACAGCTGTCTATTGCTAATTCTCCGAATGTCGTATAGTGCTCCTTTAGGCAATAATGTGCCGTCATTGCGTGTGTGTGTGTGTGTGTGTGTGTGTGTAAGGGGTCAAGGGGAGTGACTGCGAGTCAGAATGTAGGGGGCCTCGGTGTTCCAGCCGGTGAGCCAGCGGCGAGGAGCATGTGGAAAGAGGAAGGTGTCAGTTGGGCTTTTTTCCCCAGTGAGGGGCAGCCAGAGGGGCCCAACTATCAGAGCAGCAGTTGGCCTGTGAAGAGGAGGGGGTGTGTGTGTGTGTGTGTGTGTGTGTGTGGGTGGGTAGGGGGGCATCGTTAGCAAGAACAGCTACTGAACTCTCCACAACCCCCCTGTCCAAGAGAGCGTGGTGGAGCCAGCCAGATGGGATAGAGGGAGGGTGGAGGTGAGGGAAGTTGGTATGGGGTTTGGGGAGTGGTTGAGCGGAGGTAGTCGTGGTGGGAGGGGGGGGAGGTAGGGGTAACTTCAAACACGTCTCGTCTATGTTCACATTTCATGGTTTCCTTGTCTTTCAGATCCCCCTCAGCATGACTGAGTGCTTGCCCCCCCCCCTTGTAAACTGTTGTATGGTGGTGTTTTCGCATGCCGCGCCACGCACCAGCGAACCTGCCCATGTCTAAAACACCATACTCTCCACGCTGCGTTAGCTCTCAGCCCAGCACATAATTCACAGAATTCTGCTCGCTGCAAAAGAATCACGCGAGGCATTCGGCAAACAGTAAGGCCCCAAAACAAAAAAAAAAAAAAAAAAAGTACCCCTGGAGAGCAGTAACACTATACTGGTGACCTTTTGGAGGTAATTTCCCCAAAACCTTTTTTTCAATTTCATACACAGTCCCTGTTGAAAGACACTTTAGGGTTCTCCGTCTCAAACAACCAAGAAACATTTGAGTATGAGCAAAGCTGAGCCGGAGCGGCACGTTCAACAGTCACCACAAACTGAAAGTATAACGACGGCAGGCTAGAGGAGATGAAGCGCTGCACCAGTTTCTCGAATGCGTCCACATCCTATACGTTTGTGGCATTTCAAAAAAACTGCAAAATCAAACAAAGCCAACCAACGCGGCCTCGCAATCAGCAAGACTTGAATGTTAGCACTTTTATGCCCGGGACAGAAAAAGGCCCACATGCAGACATGATTTATCTAACGCGTGACCCAAACACACTGTCACCACTATGACAACATCATCCTTGTGACACACTTCCTATTGTCTGACCTATGACCCCTACACCCTGTGACAGAGTGGACCATATATTCCATACATTGAGCACAGGGGCTTGGCTTCGGCCTCCATGGAAACCAGGAATGTGGAGTAGTTGGCAGCAGATGCTGTGTTGTTTTGGGGAAGAAAAAAAAAAAAAAAAAGTACGGCTTCGGGCAGCAACAACAGGATTGGTGACATCAATATGGCCTCTGCTGCTCTTCCAGAGACGACCTCCCGCTAAACAACAGGCTGGTAAAATGGATGACAAAGTGGGCGGCCCGTGACCGGAACAAGAAACAGAACCGGTCGGCGGAACTACAGATGTTTACTGTCGCATACATGCAAGTTTTTCCCCCAAAAACACTTCCTCTGATGTTGGTAGGAACTTGATGAGCAGGATTGGGAGGACTGGCCCACCATGTTTAGACCCCAACAACAAAGCTCATATCTGTTCTGACTGACTGGCTGGTCCCCCCCTCCCTCCCCGTCTGCGGGTGAATCACAGAGACGCAAGAGGCTTCGATAAATTAAAAGTTTCATCACAATCTCAAAACGAGTCATCGCTCTTGAAAAAGAACTGCGTGGTGCGCCAGCAACAGAGGGGAGAATGAGGGAGACGAGGCCTGTTACTGACGCGCACACACACGCACACACACACATACATACACACGCACACAGACCCAGCACAGGCGCACACAGGCACACACACATAAATACGCGTCTACAAACACACACTGCATAAATACACACACACCCACCCACCAACACTCACGCCCCAACACACACACAGTAAAATAAAAACCTTTTCCTCCTCTTCAAGCGCGGAGCAAACACCGCCGCAGCAGCAGCAGCAGCAGCAGCAGCAGCAGAGTGAAGCAGAAAAACAAGCAGGAAAACAACAGAAATCAGCCTCTCTTCCTCTTATTCTCTCTGGCTGTCTCTCAGGAAGGCAAGCATACAAGAGAACGTACCTCGGAAAACCTCCTGCTGCATCTCTGCTGCGATGTGTTCTCTCCCCTCACACTCCCTCCCTCGCTCCCTCTCTCTCTCTCTCTCTCTCTCTCTCCCTCTCTCTCTCCCCCTTGGTCTGTGTATGCGCACGTCTGAGTGTGTGTGAGAGAGAGCGAGTGAGAGCAGGGAGAGGCGGTGCGCACGCACACACACGCGCACACACACACACACACACACACACACACACACACACACACACACAC